GGAACTAGGATTTCCTGACCCTGCATCAAACTGTAAAGCCCTTAACGCTAAACAGACATGCCATCCTGAAGCTCTAGATCTAGTCGCCTATCTAACCCCAAGAGGCTCAAGGGTGTCCCAAATTCCAAAACCACTCGCAATTCTCAACAGCTTCGAAACAGAACGTCGAAAGAAATCATCCGAAGAGGTTGAGAGCGAAAACACGCAAGATATCATCTCAACAACTTCCAGTCCCGAACACTTCAAATCCTGCAGGAGCCAGCAATACCGTAAGACATCATCCTAACCCACTCAAGCCTGAAAAGCCTGTATATCATATCATCCAAACAACTTCAAACCCCAAGAACCCACACATTCCTAAAACACCAACAGCTGTACGAAGTCGGCCTTCAGCCTCTTCTTGCGCGCCCGCTTCTCATCGATGTCCTCAAGCTTCCCGAAAAGGGAGATTGGGTTCTTGTGATCATGAACAAGGTTAGGAGATTCAAGAAAGCTTTGCAGAGTCTTACAAGTATTACAAGGCTTGTAAGAGAATCTTACGGGCTTTAGGGCAGGCAGGTGTAAGTTCTTGCCTTTCCTGTGGCAATTTCTGTTCAGATCCCTAAACCCTAAACCCCCACACCTTTCAACAGGACTCCTTCTGCTATGCAATCGGCAAACTCTTTCAGATACATACACCCCAGGACGCCGGGCAAATTCCCGACCAGAAGACAAACAACGTCCGCAACTCAGAAGGCACACAGGTGAAAACCCATCGAAATGCTCGGGATCACATTGAACTGTTGCTGCTGCCCTCACTTTCTAATGATGGTTTCGGGCTCAGGCTTTCTGGGAATGCTTTGCTCTTGAGTTCAGGCTTCCTTGAGCCGAGCCCTTCAACTTTGCTGAGGTCCTGTAAACCCCAAACCCTAATGCGGGGGCCTTAATAAGAATAGGGCTGTTGCGAATACTATACTATGCTTATAATAAGGAACCTCCAAAGTAGTATAGGTAATTACTAAGGCCCCTCTATAATACACCCTAAACCTTGGCAGCTGCGAGCCTGGGTGATTCGAGTTGAACATCGCCTGAAGCCTCTACACAAGAAACTCAACCCCTAAACCCTAAACCCTTCATTAACCATAAACCTTGGGTACTGCCTCCACACATTAACTAACATGAGCCCTAACCCCCCAGAGCCCGAAGCCCTAAGCTGCTAAAGCCCAAAACCTCTTGACCCGAAGCCCTGACACGTTTAGGGCTTAGGGGTTTAGGGGTTTAGGGTTAGCCACTCTTAAAGGCCTTAAACATCTAAGTCTAGAAGCAGATCTTATTCCATTGTTTGGGAGTGGGGGGGCAGTATCCAACACTTAACCGTAGTTCACCGGAAACTCCCTAAACCCTACTTGGAGGATCATGGGACTTAGTAAGCAAGGTTATGAGTCCCCTAATTGGTGTTGTAAGTACAGTTACCTTAGTTACTAAGTCCCATGATCACTTAAGTAAGACATGTCTGAGGGCCCTGCGCGCTGCTTCAACAAGCCCGTGGGAAGACCCACCTCCTGGCAGCTTTGGGCGGTTGTCTCGGCTCTGTATTGAGGGGCCTTAATTATTGGAATGAATCTCTTTTTTTTTTTTTTTTTTTTT